TTGTCATCCAAAACGACTAGTCTAGAATGAAACTGTATGAAATGAATTGGGAATCAATAACCACTGGAGCCAGACACACATACAACCAATAGATTTTTGTGTCATAATGATAAGTTAGGAATATTACCGCTTACTTAAAACGTTTAATGATATATAATGAGATATTTCCAACTAACAATGACAACTGAATGAGTCCAATCCACTACTTTCTCTGTCTTACCATTTCTAATGGTACATATATAGAGTATTGTATGGGATAGTTTATAGACTAAATTATTTGATATACCAATTATAGATTTCATTTAATCAGATGACTTAAAATTTGAAAAAAAAATGTACACAAATAATTGACTTTTTTCTCCCTTTTATGGAGCAAATCCATGAAGTCACTAACAAATGGATTGAGTCATGTTAGTAGAAGTAGGCTACCTGGTTGGGGTCCGCGAGACGAAAGTCACCAATGGTTAGAGACCTTGAACGACATGGCTCAGAATCGTTTGCAATGGCGCAGGTGCATCCACTCTCTGTTTTCTCTGTAATTCTAACCTTCTGAATCCCTCATAATCTCTGTCTTTCTCCTTCTAAATTTATCTTACTGAATTATACTTCTCGAATCATTATCTTTGCTACCTAATCTTCTCCATTACTGCTAATAATTCTACTATCGCTATCACTCTTGGATTGGAACTGACAGTTACGTCTCTGTGCTCATGTGGTATGGCAACCTGAACTGATGTACTTACGTACGAAGTTCTGCGTTGTATCTGTCTGTCCCTTTTATATAAAATAAAATATTATCATTGTACTTTGGAAAAACTATTAATTTTATGCGGTAAATGTACATTCAAATTAACCATAGAATGTAAAGAAAGACTACATTATTTTTCACATTTTATAGTCACGGTTTATTCATTATTGAATTGATGTTTAGCATATAATTGAGAACCTTAATTGTTTAACTTATACTACTGAATCAATCGACAAGTGGTTCATTTTTTTGTTAGGTAACCAATTTAATTGAGACTTCAAGGAGGATTTCACTATCAGTTTATCAGTAGAATGTTCTAAGTTGGTACACTCAAGTAATTTTCAAGGCATTAAAGGCTAATGAAATTGCGTTTGTATAAAATGTTCAAGCTTACTGCACCAAAATTACGTTTTCTGAATTTATATATTTTGTACTTTAATCATTGTTCAGTTTGTGTGCGATTGTACGCTTGGGCATTACTTGCCACCTACACATGTAGTTTTATTTGACTCACTTTATCGATCAACAGTTTAAATAATTCGATAGCAAGATCGACTTGCTTTTTTGTTTTTCGCCTGTTATCCCCAACGGAGCATAGGCCGCCGAACAGTTTTCTCCAAACAACTCTGCCCTGGGCTTCCCTTTACAGTTCCGTCCACTTTTTGTTCATTCTTCTCATATCTTTCTCTATTTCTCGGCGTAATTTGTTCCTTCGTTTTCCTCTTTTCTTTTCACCTCGGGGCTTCCATGTGAGGGCTTGTCTCGTGACGCAGTTAGGTGCTTTTCGTAATGTGTGTCCTATCCACTTCCACCGCTTCTTCCTGATTCCCTCCTCCACTGGAATCTGGTTTGTTCTCTCCCACACTAGATTGTTGCTGATAGTGTCTGGCCAACGAATCCGAAGTATTTTGCGTAGACAACTATTAATAAACACTTGTATCTTCTGGATGATGGCTTTGGTAGTTTTCCATGTTTCCGATCCATACAGTAGAACTGTCTTGACATTTGTATTGAAAATCCTGATTTAGGTTTTGTTTGAAAGTTGTTTGGAGTTCCGGATATTTTTCAATTGTAGAAATGCAGCCCTTGCTTTTCCAATCCGCACCCTCACATCTGCATGGAATCCACTTTGATTGTCGGCAATATCAGCTACATATATATACATATTTGAATTAAATCCGATATTTGTATTGATCATTAAAATGGTTTAAATAATAAACAAATCGTGGCAACGACCCGTGTTCTCTCGTAGCGATCATCAAGACAGATGTACGGAATTTCAATGATAAAAATAGTCTTACGCCACAATATAACTAATAATCGATGTTCGTGCTTGATATGAAGTAATCATTGTCACATTGCTTGTGTACTTTCACGCAACACTAACAAAACCAACAAAGCATAGCATGGTGTTATATATTTTTAAAAAGAAAAAAATCAAAATATTACTTCTTTAACCGCTTTAGATTAGAAAAGAAACACGAGAACTGTTTGTGTTTGTCAGCATACTTTATCGGAAGAAAATAAATCTTATGGAAAATTTTATTTTAAACTTTATAAGTTTAAATAAAGGAAAAAAATTTTCTTTTTCTTTTTAAGTCTGTCAAACGTGAAATTTTTATTCTTATGACCTAAATTTACTTCCTTACTAAATAATTGTCTATTGTCTATGCATAGATGAAGATGAAACTTTTCAACAGAAAAAGAAAAAAAAACAAACTTTATTTTCAAAGTTTCTATTTTCTATCTAACTTGTGGACAATATAAAATGATGAAATGGAAATTATTTCGCGTTAAAATGACTAGAAAGTTATACAATGTTCAAAACACTAACTTTTAAGTTTAAGTTTAAGATTATTTTGTAAATAAGAAGCATGATATTGTTTGTTATTTGAATTTCAAAGTTGACATTGTTGTTATTGCTAAGTTGAATGATAAATATTATTGAAATCTTTTGGATGTTTTTATATTGATAATTCGAGATTCTCGACTGGTTAAGTAATTCACTTTTTAAAAGATGCTTTAAGTGTTTTCATTGAAACAACATCATCAGTTAGAATTGACCTATAAAATGACTATTTACATTAGTTGTAGTGTTATTGTTCTCATTGATGCATTTAAGTTCATTTTAGGCTGTTCGTACTCAGATGATACTTGACAAATAAAGTGTCAATGTAATGAAATCTTTTACGGCAATTGTTAGAGTATATTATCAATCAAAAACTTGGTCTTTTTCTGACTAAAGATATTTTTTGAATGCAGAAAATGTGCTGAATGCACAGAGGTCAAAATACCTTTTGTACAAAGATCCTTCTCCAATTCACGTTGCTTCATTCGTTTTATTCTCTGCTTCTCCGCTTCGCTTTGTGGTGTGTCCCAAATAAACGTATTCATCACTATGAGTTCATCTTCTGATTTACAACCGTCAGACGTTATTTACTAACGATTGTCTGGGCGAGCTGCCCAACTAGAGTAAGAAACGGGAGTCGTTGAAGGAGATCCAACTCTTCATCTACTGTTGCTAATGTTGCATAAGGTACGGGTCTCTTTGTACGAAAAGCAGGCTTAGCCCCAGGTTTCAACCGAAGTGTTACTTTCACGTCTGAAAAATGGTTGAAACCTCCGTCATCAGCTTCCTCGTATATGATTCAGGGTCATGTGGTTGTGATACCAGGTGGCATATGGTATTTAACGGGACATCAGCCAATTTAAGCCGGTCGAATCAATCTAAACCAAGTAAATTTAGATCAGCTGGCGTTATATAACATACCCCAGTAAATGATGAGCCGCGAAAGGCAACTTTACATTCCAATTGTCCTAACAGACGAAGGTAATTATCACATGCTGTATGAAGCTTCTGTGTTGTCTGCTGCAGGCTTGGGCTGCCCAGTTTGGTCCAATTTTCATGTGAGAGGATGGTGACGTCAGATGCGGTATCTATTTGCAATCTAAACGGATGCCCGTTAATATTAAGAGTAATCTGATTTGATTTAGCTATCAAAATTTTCCAGACTACTCAAATATACAGGTGATCTACTTGTTTATTTCAAATAATCACAGCATACCGTTGATGATATCTAAGTGGTACTCGACTGTAATGAAGCGGTGCTGCTTTTCTTTAATCATTTTCATTTTTAATAGATTTTTACTAAACATTATTTATGGCACTAAGAAAAATAGTTTTTCGCATGTTTTGTGATAAACACAAGCAACTTCAGAGGTTAAATTCTTCGGTACATTATCCCGAGCTAATTTGGTCAATATAATCTCAAAAAACAAACAGAGGAAGTTGATGAAAATGTAAAATTGATCATATCAAACAGACTTGAGATGCTTATGATAATCTAATGTGTATTGATCTTGCTTTTCAGACAAAGCACGAGGTTTAGAGAAAAAAAATTCTAAAATGTTGATGAAATCACCTGATGAAGAATAAATAAATAAAAGTACAACCAGCTTACCAAACTTTTACATTCTCTATTAAAGCTTCACCAAATATTACATATGGCTATGATACTAGGATTACAAACGATGTGTCACTATTTATAAGAGCGAATAATTTATATTATTTGTGAAATTTTCAGTCGTATAATATTTTAAGACATAAAATCAAAACAACGCATGATCAAATTTCAATTTTTCTCATTCAACAGTATACAGCTAAATAACATATTCTAGTTATCGTTTGTTATGCATGCATATCCATGTCTATTTATGAAATATACTATATTATTTGGAACAGCAACAAAATAATATTGAACACATGTGATGAATTTATCCACTCTCTGTCGTTATTTGTAACATTTCTGACATTTCTAAGAAGAATATGATTAATTAGAATAAATATGATGGAATAGATCGTTATATTTTATTTAAAATAATTTTTTATTCAAAAATTTATTTGTTCTATTTCGTTCTTAACAGTTTTAACTAATCTTTTTACTTCAGTTATAATTCTATCAATTTTTTACGATTTTATATTCGGTTCAAATGTGAATGATGTTGTTGTTGTTGCTTTTTTTAACACCTAATAAATTTGGCGCCACTTTTTTAAAAGCTATTGGAAAGTTGAACGTGATTAGAATAAACAAAAAGAAAAAAAAGGGCAGATCAAATTACAATAATTAAGATTAAATCATGGTATTATATTGTCATGGTAAATCATTTAGAATGTTATGCATACCATTTTAGTCTAATAGACAAAATAAAATAATGGATATTTCTAAAAATATATATATTTATTTTGATCAGTAAATAAACAATCTATTAACTTGGTTAAAAGTACAGAAAATAATTATTTTTACAGAATGGGCAATAAAAATGATTAGATACAAATTATTAAGTTTGTGATCAATCTTCATTGATGTCTTTTTTAACTGTTCCAGTAGATTCGGAATTTGTTTTTATACTTAAGAATCGTTTCAATTTTGATGGAGTTTTTTTATCTTTCGATGTGCCAGCAGCACATTGTTCTTGTGTTGTGCCTATATATCTAGGCATATCTAATGCGTCGACAATCGATGTGGAACTGTTCATATTTGTACCATTACTGCCACTAACACCAGTGTTCATAACAATTCGTTCATTAGTTTGTGCTTCATTTGGACGTCGTTTAAAAAATGATACAAAACGTGAGCGAGATTTCGTTTCACCTACCAATGTCATATTACGTCGTGTTTCCATTTTAAGTAATTCTTGAAAAACTTCTTTCACATTTAAATTTGATTTCGCTGATGTTTCCATAAAACCACATTTCCATTTTTGAGCTAATGCTTTACCATGGGCTGGACTAACTTCACGATTATCATTTTCGTCAACTTTATTACCAACAAGCATAATTGGTACTTTAGGCAATTCTTCCATTTTAATTAAAGCTAATTCAGTGTATAATGGTTGTAATTCATCAAATGAAGCTTTATTAGTTATGGAATATACAAGAATAAATGCATGTGCTTTGGTAATGCTTAATCGTTGCATCGCTGGAAATTGATGACTACCAGTAGTATCAGTGATTTGTAATGTGCATACTTGTCGATTACAACTGATTACCTGGAAAGAATAAGAACAATAGAAAACCAATGAACAAGCGTAATTCTTGAGAAATAGACAGTAGTTTACTGTATATTCTCAACTATTAAATCATATATTCATTGATGAAGTAATTTACAATTTTTTAAAACCAAGTGATATTATCATCAACATTTTAAGCTTATAGACTAGTTTATAAAAATGCAGTTACTTGGTTGAAACATATTTCTTTGTTCTTGATCAAACAATGCCCCCTCCCATTTTGATGGGAGACCGAAATGCCAAGGTTGGTATGGACAACACTGGATATGAAGACAACATAGGACGAAATGGGCTGGGAGAAAGGCAAGAAAATGGTGAGAGATTCGCAAACCTATGTGCCTTCAACAAACTGGTCATCTGCGGCACAGTATTCCCAAACAAATGCATACATGGATGCAAGATGTTCAATGTTATTGAAATGTGTTATTTTCATAGTAGACTTTTATTTATCATTTCCATGTTGGTGAATTTCCTAAACGACAACCCATATATAAAATTTTACTGTAATCGTAAATAGATCTTCATTATAGTTAGTAATTATTATATTGACAATTTTTCTGTTATCATAGGTAAGGTTTCCACGTAACAGAACACCATACATAACATATCTTATTCATAATAGTATTTAGAAACTACCGCTGATGTACATTTTGTCATATTTTATCACTCATAAAAGTATTAGAATCAGAGAGTCGTGAAGTATCTAGTGTGGACTTTTTATCAATGTTTATACACTAAACTCCTGATCTCACAATAGGGATGAAACTGATAAAACAAGAGGTCATCACTAAATATTTTACTCTTCTATTATCACTGAGAAACACTATGATGGTATATGTAACTAATGAATACAAAAAGAGAAGAAATCTTATTGGTCTATAAAGTCATTCTTTTGTCATGAGCAAATTATATGCAGTAACACTATGAATGTTTGACGCTTCACAGTACTACCTACTTAACATAAGCAGGATATCCCAGTGCCCATGTACAGAAGTAACAGTTTCCAACTGATAACTCATATTATTGTAACCCATGTGACAAATGCAGTCCCAAGATAATTTTTATATTACAATTTAAACAATTTAAAATCATATATCTAGCCTTTACATGTGACATTGCTATTTGTATCAACTTTATCATACTTTTAAAATTCAGTTTTCATTCTGTAATTATTTTCAGTAAAAAGTACAATGTATGATGAAAAGCCCAATGTTGTACACAACTTGGTGTCTAGTTTAAAGAAGAATTTAGCCTTAACTAATATAATTTTGATCATTTACAGTTAATTTTCAAGGTCAGATGAACTTAATTGAGTTTATTTATAGTGGTATCTGATAGTTTATAGTCTAGACTACATAAGATTGATGGATATTTGAACAGCTAACTATATGAAACAGTATTTTTTTCAAAATGTATCTCATGATGAATTTCAAAATAATGACTACTGAAAACTACTAAATAGAATTAGTAATACTTAATTAGTTTGTAAAAAGACAGACGATCATAATTTCCGGATATGATTGCAAACATTTGTCAAGTATCAGTTTCATGATTATTAATGAGTTTTTCATTAATGACTGTTTTCTTTCCATTTCTCATTCACTTGTCAAATGATAATGACATTAACTTCCATTCAGTTGTGTTTGTTATGATAGAAGGAAAATTGTTTAATTCAACTAAATATGGGGTTTAGCTAAAACAGAACTGAATGTTGGGCATGACGACATTGATTCTTTGTAAATAGTTCTTTGACTGTATTCAATAAGATATTATGTTGTTATTATTTTAGGGACATTCTACAAACATGCCAAATCTCTATTAGCCTAGATGAATAATTAATTGAGTTGATAAAGCTTTTCTTCATAATGTCTGGTACATAGAGAGCTAACGCAATCTCTAAATCACGATTATGACCAACGATAGTAGCACTCTTACAATCAGAGTTAGATAATAACACCATTGGCGCACAAGACTGAAGGTCCTGGGTTCGAATCCTGCGAGGTGTAGGAGTCGTGGATGCGCACTGCTGATGAGTCCCATACCAGGACGAAATGGCCGTCCAGTGCTTCCAGGTTTCAAATAGTGTTCTATCAACGATTGATTGAGGATTTCGAATATATAATGTATTCATTAAAAAAGGTTTGTCAATATAGTTAGATTTCATACTCTTTATTACAAAAGGGCATTAAATTCACAATTTTCGAAAGTCATGAGCTACTAGGCATTTACTTGATTCTAGAACGGGACTGGTAATGTGGGCAAATCAACAACTCAATTATAGATGAGACTCAGTACTATAAGATCTTGCGATGATCGCTAAAAGTTTAGAACATTGAGCAGTTATCCAATGGTTAACATTTCTAAATCTTGTCAGTTAGCTGTAAGAACAAAACCATCATTGATTGTCAGTGGTGGGGAACTGACTCGTATCCAACATAGCTGGACGTAAGGTAACCAATGATGGGTTATTTTCAATGATGAGAAATATAGAGAATCAGAACTGAATGTGACTTCTGCACTCGAAAGTAAATAAGTATTGAAAAATATACGAGTGAACAGGGCTTTAGTTAACGCACACTTCACTATTCTCCTAAAACAGTTAAGATTTAGTTTGATTTCAGTCAAATTAACTCAGTCTACCTTGACATCATCTCTGTGTGGATAAGTTCAAACAAATTTAAAACCGCTATTTTAAAGTGAATTAAACTCACAGTATAAAATTTCATTTGAATACAGATTTTATGGTAGATAACGCTAGAGTAGATTCAAACATGACAGAATGAAATTTCATATCACGTTTCAAATCTTATCACATAAAGAAAGACAACCTCATATCTTGAATTAGAATTTAAGCAACAAAAAGACATTGAATTATGAAATAAACCTGAAAAGATTTTTGAATGATAATCGCTTTTTATATCTTAATATGAAACAATAGATACTTAATGATAAGCACATTTATACCACATACAATTACTGATCAACATAAGAAAAGTTAAACACTTCTTTACTACAACATTAGAGCCTTAATCTTTAACTTTTTTTGAAATTAAGAACTTATTTATTCAAGCAGAGATGAGGGAGAGAGAGAGAGAAATTTGCAGAGAATCATATCCTGATGAACAAGTCAATCTTATTGATTCATCTGCTTTGAAATAAGTTTTTTTTCCTCATTGTTTTCTGTTATTAACATTGATGTGAGGTAAAGTCTGAAAAGTTTGTTGTAATTTTATTATCAAGAATAATTTAGCTCTTACTCTCTGTTGGAAAAAAAATCTTTTCTATTTAATCAGCTTTCTATGAAAAAACGATTGAAAATTAACTTTATTTTCTTTAGTGCTATATTACAGGGATTAGTTCTCTGCTACCTGATCTGATCATACAGAAATTACATAAGAGTGCGAGATTTATAGACAAACTGCTCACCAAGTTTAGTATTTCATATTAAATATACTATTAAGTCACAACAGTCGATCAACTTGCTTCAAGATGACAATAATGAATACAGTGCACGTTAAACATTTACGGTCTACAAAAACACTTTAATCATAAATTAGCTCTGCTTCTCTTGATTTTGTTTCACAGTGTCAACTTACAAGTTGTTTGGTTACTCATAGATGAGTTAAGCATAGAATGATCTTCCTAAATTTCTTCCTATGGTCTATAAAGTATTACCTACAGATTCTGCTATATATATTCTATGCAATTCCGTTTAGTAAATAAAATTTTGAAGTCAATTATTTATGCTTGGAATGATATCTGTTGTCAGAATAACTATTGGAAGTAATCCTAATTACAACGTTTGAGAACTATATAACTTTCATGTTTGTATAAAAACAATTTTGAAATTTATTCATTTCAATTTAACATCAGAATCACCAATCTACAAGAAAAAAAATACAAACGAATTTAACTATGAATTTAATTTTTGTTACAATTTAACATGAATTTTTTTTCAGGTGTCTAACTTGTTTATTTATTATTTATCATGGTGTTGCTATGTAGGCTTGGGAACAATGTATAGTCAAAAAGTCTAAGGTTTATTGAATAATAACTAATAATTGATATCGATACATTCAGTGTATGAAATGAAATAAGTGAATGGAAATGAAAGTGAAATTTTTGCTCTGTGTGGTTGTCTGAAAAGGTAGCCAAATCAGACAGAACAATAATTATTTTATTCTGATAGATAGTACATCAAAACATTTTTTTCAGGATTTATTAGTTTAGAATTTTTAAAAAAGAAACTAATACATATGCCTTTTCTAGGCCTTAAAAATTATTACATTTATGTAGGCAGAGTATCGTTTTATTCGGAAATAAATCAATTTTCTGGTTATTCATACGATTAGACGCTCTTATATAATATATAGATCTCTAAAATGTTGTTATTATTCACTTATCATCATTAAATTTAATGGTGAGATGATAAAATCGATGTATTGCTAGAATTTTATCATTTTAAATTAAATAAATATTAAATTTCAAAGATAATGTAGTGAAGGAGAACACAGGTGAGGGCAAACAGATTGTACTTATCTCAAATTACTAAGTTAATTGGTAAAATAGGAAAACCATATCGTAAATCGTTAATTTGCAAAATATCAATCCATCATGCTCCTGTCACAAACATCAATCCATTGTCTGACATTTCACTGTTCATGCGTTTCATACAAATCCCATTGTGTTCCCGCTCTTCCTTTCTTGATCTTCCCCCATCTTCTGCTGTCAGACATTACGTTTTTACTCGCGTCATATACTACTTATAAGTAGCGCGCACCACAATAATGCTAAATGTTTCATACGTTCGCCTCTGTTTCATCCAGCAAATAATCAAATCAAAAATTAATAATTCACGTAGTCATCACTTTTTATCTAAATGTTTATTATATTTCAAAGTAGCTTATGGTGATTAATTATGATTTCCAAATGATAATGATCCCTATTGTGAAAATTGGGAACATTATATTTAAGAGTGT